AGTCTAGACCGGTACCCTCAACCGGACAACTTGAGAGGGAAAGGCACGAAACCGTCGACTGCACCGCTGATCGACTAGTTTTACCACAAATAAGCCTTTCCGAATTTAAAGGGTGTTTTTAGGAAGAGTGCAGACACTCATCAAGTGCCGCTATGGTATTAGAACGTACGAGCGGAATATGATGTTGAGCATGGAATTATGCAAAAAGAAAACAACACGTTGTCAAGTATTTGCATGATGAATAACGATGAAATGCGATATTTAATAATTGTAAAGACATTTAAGAAAAGAAAACAAGGAGACAAGTCATTTTCCATAGTAAAAGTGATAAAGCGGGGGGGGGGGGGGGGGGTAGTCATAATTGAATAAGGATAAGCAAATAAATCCACATAGCATGGGAAGGGGTGTGTAAGAATTAACGGAATAATAAAGACATGCTTAAAGACTAATTCACAGACAAGTTCATTATGGTAAGAGCCTAAAGATATCCCCAGAAGAGTCGCCATGCTGTCGCGGCCCCTTTTTCTCGCGAAATCGGGTTTCAACATTTCCGGGACAACTCCTTTCCTTTTGGGATGGGGCAAGGGATTTGAAGAGTCGCCACCTAACGGATTAAGGTGCGTTAGGGCACCTAAAGCAATTAACTCATATAACCAGTTTACATCACTAGAGATCGGGTAAGGGCTCGAAATTACCTTGAGGGGAAGGTGTTAGGCACCCCTCGAGGTCCACAATGGTGGGTCCCTGCCGAACTTAAATTAAGCGAATTAGTCTTATGGGAAAATAAAACAATTTAGACAAATGGATATTATTTTAAAACAGGAATTAGAGGGGTCCTAGGTTTTTTAACCTATAGGATCATTTCCATGCAATACTTGGTAACTTTCCCCAAGTTGGGGTGCTACACATAGCATTAGCGCACGGGGAATCATTTCCTTTACTACCCAATTACTATCTTTCAGTTGTTACCTAAGCGTTCTAGTAGCTTCTAACTCGTGCCTTATGCGTGCACTACCCGTCCCTTTCCTATGGTCCTGGAGGTATTTAGGACCTCTATTTAGGGTGGTTCTAGACTGACCTATGTTGCTTAAATGATAAAAAGCTAGGCGACAGACAAAAATCAGATAGGACTATCAGATAGGGAACAAATAAGGGCTCATGTTAACCTCCACAAATAGACACCAAATGCACGCAATTAAACAGACAACTTTATTTATTTAGGATCCTATAGGCAGGATATCTAGATGAGCAGAAAGAATATAAGAAAGCGGCTTATTAAAACGAGCACTGGGACCTACAGGCTTGCCTACTGATTTGATTAAGTTCTGAATCTGGGCATGTTTCAAGTAGCAGGAGATCACAATTTTTGGCAGGATTCTTAATAAACTTACAGGTTTGCCTACTGATAACCAGAACAAAATCCTATAAGCATGATGTCTAAAGGTTGATTAAAAGACCTATAACATGATTTCTAAGCGAATTACTGATTTTTTAACTCATGAAAACAGATTTTATCTCTTTAGATCCTATAAGCATGCTTTCTAATTTGCAAAATTAATTAACTCCTATAGACATGATTTCTAGGCGTCGAAATTGATTTGTTTATTTTCTATAGGCATGGTATCTAAGTTGAAACTAATTTTTTACCTCCTATAGGCATGATATCTATCAATCACATGTGGGCAGAATCTTAAGCACATTGCCAGGAAAGTTTATTATTCAAACATATAGAATCCTATAGACATGGTCACTAGTGCATGTAAGTTAGAAATATGCATGGATCCTATGGACAGGATTTCTAATGCAAAGGGGCCTATATACAGGATTTCTAGCATGCGAGTGAAACACAGAACAAAGCAATCAGAAAATCCTATAGACATGATCTCTAAAAAAGTAGTAACATTCACATAGTCACCAATAAATATATAGGCAGGATTTCTACCCGAGTGTCAAACAAGGATATGAGAAACCCCCCAGTTTTTACTAATAAACCCCAGATTTATTTATTACAAAGATTATTACAGCACAGAATGAATAAGTTACATAACAATATCGATTACACTATAGGGAGCCTTAGTTGGCCCAATATAAACCTGGGAGCCAGGCCTTCAAACAAAACAACTCTGAAACACTAGCAGCATTCCACAATACCTTAAACCAGGCTTCCAGTGTGTTAAAGTTCCCAAAGAGTCAAGGACCCCGAGCAATGCTCACACTAGAACCACACATTCAACACAGAATTCATTTGAGAGTGGAAAACTAGCCCCAATGTGTCAGAGTTCAAAGGAGCCTCAGGGACCCTAGGCAGTGCTCACACTGGGATAGTAGGAACCTAGGTAACTAAGAGTAGAAGTTTGAAAACCAGTACATAGGGGGTAGAGGGACAGTTTTAGAAAAAAGTTTGATTTTTAGGAACAAACAGATTCAAATTACAAGACTGCAGACAGAATTTCACTTAAAACAAACAGAAACCATATTTAGTAAATAGTTCAAATAGATTGGTATTGATTCAGACATGGATACTGTACTAGCATTTAAGCAATCACAAAAGAGACGAGATACTTGAACTAATAGACAGAGTTGGCAGCATATTACATGTTTGCAGAACAGGGAATATACAGTTGTTTATACAAGGTTTCATATTACTAGAGATAACTTAGTTAACTAGGCGAAGTCATATGGGCATATAGCAAACAGAAACATGCCGAAATCTCAAACTAATAAGCACATAGGATTGGATAGGGTAACAAAGACTAAAGCATGCCAGTTGAGAAAGCAGTAACAGAAAAAAACATGTTGAGGTCAAAATAAACTATAAGACAAAATGAGATAACAGGAACTGAAACCTGCCAGTTGAGAAAGGAGTAAAGAAGTATCATAGATCACACAGAAACATGCTGAGGTTTGAAGTAAACTAACCACATAACCACAGGGAATAGAATAGGATAACAGGAGTTAACACATACCAGTTAGGAAGAAAGTGAACAGGAATGTAATGGCAATTTGAATCCAAAGAGTTTAGCCTTGGCTTCCAGCCGGCTAAACACTGCAGAAATCAGAGTAGTCACACAGAGAGACAACTTAAATCCTTTGAAGGAAAGCAGAGAGCTTTTGAGTAGCAAAGCGAAGCAATTATAAGAGTGTGTAAGTGTGAGTGTGCGCCTGTAAGCGTGAGCGTGTCTAAAAATCAGAGTAATGAAAGGTTTTTATAGCATACAGTAGAGTAAAACCAAATAAGGTAGGAGAATCAATGGCACACAAATAAGGCAAAGGGATCAGTTAATCAGTCAATTAGGGCTAAGAGGAATCAATTAATAGGCAGAATCACTTAAATTAACACGGAATAATTCAGCAGTCAAGATTGAGGTCTAAATAATGTAAGTAGTAAGTCCAGAGATCAATTAAAAGTCGGTCCTAATAATCAAAGTACAGAAATCAAGCTAGCAAAAGAGTTAAGGAAGGTAGTACCAATTATGAATCACACATAAGGAAAGATTAAAACTCAGTAAAGGATTTCAAAACCCTAATTTTTTGGGTAAACCATAAAGTCAGCAGAGAAATAAGGGCGAAATAATCGCACACTGTGTACAATGAACATAGACAAGAGATTTATTCGAAAAGCACAAAGAATCGAACTAGAGAAGATCTTAAACCCTAATTTTTAGGGTGAGTGAAATTAGGCGGAAAACCTTTTAATAAAATCATGAAAAGATTCACAGATAGTCATGCAGAAACATAGATATGAATTTTAATGAAAAATAAGTACCAAATCTCAGCAGATTTCAAAGGATCTAAACCCTATCTTTAGGGTAAAATAAGGAATGAGCAAAATCTCAGAGATTCAGACATAAGGAGACAGAGGAAGAACATAGATAGAAAGAGATAAAGGTTCAAACCAGATTTGGTTCAAAACAAGAGAGATCCACTTGCCATGTTAGGCAAGTGATTATGTAATACCATAATCGGTTAGCCAGTAGAGAAAGGGGGCCAAATAATGTAAGAAATCACCAGATGATTCCATATCTGGTTGGAATCGAAGGGGATTTGGTGGGGATTTGGGTGACGCGCTTAGGGTTTGACAGTGAGAAGAGGGGAGGTTGAGAGAGTTCAAAGGCGGCGGGTTGAGTGAAATGGGTTAGGGTTTCTGGGGTTGGATAAATAAGAAAAGGGGGGAAAGGATGGTGGCCGTGGATCTTGAGAGATCAACGGCTGGGATTAAAAAATGGATTGGGCGGGTCGTTTAAGAGCGGGTCGCGATCGGGTTGTGGGTTCGGGGTTGTTTGGTATGATCTATGGCGGACTGGGCTAGTTTTTAAGTAGTTGGGCTGGGTAATTGGGATGGTTTGGGTAGCCTAGGTCCGAAATTAGTTAACTAAAAGGGGCTAAATTTTAAATACCCAATTAATTTAATAAAATTTATAAATGCTAAAAATGTCATTTGTGCATAAAAACTATTTAAAATAATTACTTAATATTATAAAAAATATAAAAAGTCATTTTCCGTGTAAATAATGTAATTATGCATACATGGGCTATTATTGCAAAGTTATTGCAATTATAGCCTAAAGATACAAATATAATTATGCATAAAATGAATAAAGCTTAATATGAATAAATGATAAAAATCAAGTAATAAATTATTATAAAATTATTTGTGATGCAATTAGTAATTATTTAGATATTAAAATGCTGGAATAAATTAATTAAAATCCCTTTTAAAATTACAGAAAATTATGGAAAAATATTAGTTGATGCTCATGCATTATTTTGAAAGTATATATGTATTTTTTATTAAAAATATATGAGGGAAAAAATGGATATCAGCAATGTCTTTCATGGATGGTTCATCTGGATATAATCAAATTCGCATGGCACCGAAGGATAAAGAACTAACTGCCTTTCGCACCCCTAAAGGTATATAATGCTACAAGGTAACGCCTTTTGGTTTGAAGAATGCTGGTGCTACATATCAACGTGCCATGTAAAATATTTTTGATGACATGCTTCATAAAAATGTGGAGTGTTATGTTGACGACTTGGTGGTAAAGCCAAGGAAGAAAGATGATCACTTGCAAGATTTGAGGATGGTATTTGAACGGCTTTGGAGATACCAACTTAGAATGAATCCATTGAAGCGCGCCTTTGGAGTTACTTTAGGGAAGTTCCTTGGTTTTATTGTTCGACACCGAGGTATCGAAATTGATCAAGCTAAGGTGGATGCTATCTTAATAATGCCCGAGCCTAAGGATATTCATGAGTTAAAAAGCTTAAAAGGTAAGTTGGCATATCTTAGAAGATTTATTTCGAATCTAGCTGGAAGATGCCAACCATTTACTCGCCTCATGAAGAAAGGGGTTCCTTTTGAATAGGACCAAGCTTGCAGAAATGCTTTTGAAAGCATTAAGTCTTATCTGATGAAACCTCCAGTACTGGCAGCCCCCATACCTAGAAAGCCATTAATATTATACATTTCAGCACAGGAAAGGTCAGTCGGAGCGCTTCTAGCTCAAGGAAATAATGGAGGCAAAGAAAATGCACTTTATTACTTGAGTAGGATGATGACGCCAAATGAGCTCAAGTATTCACCTATCGAGAAGTTACGTTTGGCACTTGTCTTCTCTATTCAGAAGATGAAGCATTACTTCCAGGCTCACGTTGTGCGACTCGTCTCAAGAGCGAATCCTATCAAGTTTGTCATGTCTAAACCAGTCCTAAGTGATCGATTAGAGAGGTGGTACCTCCAATTTCAACAATTTGAAATTGTGTATGTTCCTCAAAAGGCGGTTAATGGACAAGCATTAGCGGACTTCCTAGCTGACCATCCAATTCCAAATGATTGGGAGTTGTCTGATGAATTGCCTGATAAAGATGCAATGGTCATAGAAATTCAACCTCCTTGGAAGATGTATTTTGATGGCGCTGCAGCTGGCGCTGGAATAGTGTTTATCACTTCTCAAGGAGAAGTTTTGCCATATTCTTTCACTCTGACACAATGGTGCTCCAATAATGTTGCTGAATATCAAGCGCTCATACTTGGGCTTGAAATGGCTGTGGAATATCAAACAATTGCAACTATAAGTTTTTGGAGACTCCAAGTTAGTGATCAATCAGATTTTGGGTAGCTATGAGGTCAAGAAGCCAGAATTGGTGCCATATCACAAATATGCTCAAAGATTGGTAAGTTGGCTTGGAGAGGTAACTATTCAAAACACGTGCCGAGAAAGGAAAACAAGAGAGCTGATGCATTAGCAGCCTTAGCTTCTACATTATCTTTGCCTGATCAGACACAAGTCGTTGTTTGCCAAATATGGGTAGTTCCTCCACCAAATGATTATGAGGAAGAAGAAAGCAAAACCGAGTATCCTGCTCGCGTTCTTGAGGTTGAAATTGAAGATTGGCGACAACCATTAATTGATTATCTTTGTCATGGGGTATTACCGGAAAATCCCCGAAGGAAGACAGAAATCCGAAGGAGAGCCCCTCGTTTTCTTTATTATAAGAATACACTCTATAGACGATCATTTGATGGAGTGCTCCTACGTTGTTTCGGGGCTGATGAATCCCTTCAAGCCCTGCAAGAAGCACATTCTGGAGTATGTGGTGCGCATCAATCTGGGCCAAAACTTCACTTCCACATAAAAAGAATGGGGTATTATTGGCCAACCATGGTGAAAGATTTTTTAGATTACGCTCGAAGGTGTAAAGCTTGCCAATTCCATGCTAACTTCATACATCAACCACCTGAAGTATTCCACCCAACTGTTGCTTCTTGGCCATTTGATGCTTGGGGTTTGGATGTTGTTGGTCCATTGCCAAAGTCTTCTGGTGGACATCTATATATTTTGGCCGCAACTGATTACTTCTCGAAGTGGGCTGAAGTTGTTTCTCTTAAGGAAGTAAAGAAGGAAAATGTGGCTAACTTCATCCGAGTCAATATTATCTATCGCTTTGGCATTCCTCGATATATATTGACAGACAATGGTAAGCCATTTGATAACAAGTTGATGAATAAAATATGTGATCTTTTTGGCTTCAAGCAACGCAATTCCTCCATGTATTATGATGCTGCCAATGGACTTGCTGAAGCATTTAACAAGACGCTCTGCAACTTGTTGAAAAATATTGTCTCTAAGTCTAAGAGAGATTGACATGAAAGGATGGAAGAAGCTCTTTGGTCCTACAGGACCACATATCGCACACCAACGCAAGCGACTCCTTATTCACTTGTTTATGGAGTTGAAGCGGTCCTTCCACTTGAGCCTCAAATCTCATCGTTGCGGCTTGCCATTCAACAAGGACTCACTGATGAAGAAAATGCTCGGTTACGCCTTGAAGAATTGGAAGCTCTTGATGAAAAGATGCTAGAAGCTCAACAAAGCCTTGAATGTTATCAAGCTCGCCTGTCTCGATCTTTTAACAAAAGGGTGCACCTTAGATCTTTCCAAGTGGGTGACCAAGTTCTTGTGGTCAAAAGGCCTATTATTACTTCTCGTCGATCTGGGGGCAAATTCTCTGCTAAGTGGGATGGACCATATATTGTACAAGAGGTATACTCAAGTGGCGCTTACAAGACAGTCGACTCAGAAGGTTTGGGGATTGGCCCCATCAATGTGAAATTCATGAAGAGATACTATCCTTGAAGAAAACAAATACGCTCCTTAACGCATGAGCATAAACTGCATGTTACTCCTGGCCCGCAAGAGTATAAACTGTGCATGGTCCCAAAAAAAAAGTCCGCTAGGTTGAAAACCTCGAAAGAGGTGGCTTAGGCAAAAGTTAGGACATCCAAAAATACTAAAGTCCGCTAGGTTGAAAACCTCGAAAGAGGCGGCCTAGGCAAAAGTTAGGACGCAAAAAAAAATCACCCATTTCGAACTACGGAATGACTTGATCCTCTTCACCGAGGTACGTAGGTAGCTTAGAGTTTCATTTTAAGTTCAGTCATATGAGTTTAAAAAAAATACATATTACCCAAGGCATTATTCGAATGAAGTATGATGGAATATAATTCACTTGATTGACACTTGAAAATTAGGTGTACATGTATTCTTTCATTAAACTCTCCGTCTTATTAGATACTGATGGCTCAATGGGGGCAAGCTCTCTATGTCAAATTAAGGTCTCTGATGTAATAGTTGTAGCCTTTTAGTAAGAGGCTAAATCTTCAGGCTGGAGTCTTCTATTCTAAGTCAAGTTGATTTTATCATGTCTGTTACATCATCAATTTGAAGTATTCAAGCCTGCTAGATCTTAAAGTTGCACTCTTCAAATCCTCCAAGTCTTCGAATCTGTCAAGTATTTAAAAAATCCATTATGTTGTACTAAGGCGTGACTTCATTCTCTTCACCGAGATTGATACCTTTGAGACAATTATAGTCTTTAGTAGGCTGCAAATTTCAAGACTGCCAAGTCTTCAAGTTGAATTCATCAAATCTGCTAAGTGAAGTTGAGACCCTTGAATTCGCCAAATCTTGAAGTTGAAGTCTTTAATTTTGGGAAGTCATCAATTGACTCATCAAGTTAAAGTCTTCAAATTCACCAAGTCAAGTTAAGGCCTTCGAATTCGCCAAGAGTTGAAGTCTTCAATTCTGCAAAATTTTCAAGTTGAATCATCAACTTAAAGTCTTCAAATTTGTCAATTCTTCAAGTAGAAGCATCCAAGTCTGTCATGTCTTCAAGTTGAAGTCTGCAAGTTAGTCATCAATTGAAAGCCAATCAGAAGCCGCCATAATAGTCTTGAAGTCTTCAAAATGATATAGCCTTCAATTCTTTAATTGGAAGCTTCAGTATATCTCCAAGTGTATGAAAGAGGATTCTTCGAGTGTGAGATTTTCTTTACTAAAGTGGTATTGGAGTTGATTTCTAGTTCTACCTGCAAAAAGAAAGAAAAAAAAAGCAGAAACATATATAAAGGAGATCAGAAGATTGAAATTGAAGATACATTCTTAGTGGTCGGCTTTTTGAAAATCAAATCATGCTTCATACAATCTCTAATTCGTGTATCTCAAAATGAGGACGAGTTTCCGTTCCTTTGCACCAAAAGGTCAAATCTTTTGGCGGTAAAGTAAAATCTGCAAGTTAGACTCTATAATAGTCTTTGTTGGTCTTCGTCTTGAATAAAATATAGTCTTCAGCTTAGACGGTGTAATGGTCTAAGCCTCGGACAAAGTAAAGTCTTCAGCTTATATGGTTGTCATCGCCTTTGCAAAATAAAATCTTCAGCTTAGACGGTGTAATGATCTTAGCCTCGGACAAAATAACGTATTCAGCTTAGATAGTTGTCTTCGCCTTGGACAAAATCTAGTCTTCAGCTTAGACGGTGTAATGGTCTTAGCCTCGAACAAAGTAAAATCTTCGGCTTAGATGGTTGTCATCGCTTTTGCAAAATAAAATATTCAGCTTAGATGGTGTAACGGTCTTCGCCTCAGACAAAGTAAAGTCTTTGGCTCAGACGGTGTAATGGTATTCACCTCAGACAAAGTAAATTTTGGCCTCAGACGGTGTAATGATCTTCACCTCAGATAAAGTAAAATCTTTTGGCTCAGATGCTGCAATGGACTTTGCCTCAGATAAAAGTAAAATCTTTATCTTAGACGGTGTAATGGTCTTTGCCACAGATAAAGAAAGTCAAATTTTTAAATAAAATAAAGTCTTTAGCTCAGACGGTGCAATGGTCTTCGCTTCAGACAAAGTAAACTCTTCAGCTTAGATTGTTGTCTTCGCCTTGGACAAAATATAGTCTTCAACTTAGACCGTATAATGGTCTTCGCTTTAGACAAAGTAAAGTCTTCAACTTAGATGTTGCAATAGCCTTCACCTATAGCAAAATAAAATCTTCAGCTTAGGCGATGTAATGGCCTTCGCTTCAGACAAAGTAAAGACTTCGGCTTAGACGTTGTAATGGTCTTTGCTTCGGATAAACTATAGTTTTTAGCTTCAAGGATATAATGGGATCTTTTCCTCATACAAAGTAGTAAATTTTTTGGCATAGATAGTGTAATGATGTTCTTCGAACAACATAAAATCTTCTCATTGGCCGAGGTAAAGCCTTCGCTTCGAAAGGAATAAAGAAAAATCTTGCTTGAACAGAGTAAGGAAAGTCTTATGTCCGGACGAAGTAAACTCTTGGTACCACTTTACAAAACTGATATCTCTACCAGTATCGGCTACTTTTGAGCCTTAAAAAAAAAAGGAAAAGCGAAAGTACGTACAAGAAAAGTAAAGAATTTACATGGCAACCACAAATAAGTTTCTTGCGACTTCTTTATTTCATGAGATTCTTTCGAGGTCTGGTACGCGGTGATATTCATATATTCCTAAATCTCAAAAGGTTGCGCTGATGTGTATCAAAGATCTTAATCAATAGAAAAGTATTTTTTTTTTTTTTTATTCCATGTAGAGGAGTGACCAAGTGATATAACGTGCATGGCACTTAAATCTCTATTTAAATGGGTATAATTACAAGTTTACTCATTGTTTGACTTGCAAATCCTTTTTTCCAGTGGGCATATAATCTAATTAGGGGTCAATTAGTTCAATTAGACTTTTTTTTTGACCCAAAGGACGAAGGAGTTGGGCATGACCATAGCTGGTAATTTGCTTTTCGCCGACAAGGAAGCATCGTCAAACACGATTACATTACATAAGATTATGGTCCTTCATTGGTACTTCTAAGTCTTATCTATGAGGTGCAACACATTTATACCTCAACAAATCTTGAAGTATGGGGCATTTGTAAGTACATGAATTTGGAATTAAAATTCATATTAATTTGGATAAATTTCTAAATTCAATAAATGTCAAGCTCAAATTAAAATTAATTATTTAAGTCCGCCATGGATTTATATTAAAGTTCAACTTTATTTGGGCCACTTTATTTAGTTGGACTTCAAAAGACAAGCCCATTTTACTAGCCCAAAGTCCAAATGGCTAGTAGCTCGTCTTGAAGCCCAGGCTCATGCCACATGTCAAGTGACGTGGCAATCCAAGTCAAAAGAACGAGCCAATAAAATCATGTCACGTGTCAAGTAATGTGGCAATCCAAGCCAAATAAATGAGCCAATTAAGTCATGACATATGTCAAGAAAAGGATGGCATACCAAGTCAAATCAACAACCAATAGGGTTGTGTCAAGTGTCTAGATGGTATGGTCGGTTCAAACGGACCAATCAAATCGCAGAGCCACACCACTCCCTACAACTATAAATAGAGGTCTTCATAAAGCTAGAAGACACCAGAAGTGATAACAAGAAATAAGCAGAGAGCTCGTGGATCAAACACCTCAGATTTCTCTACAAGCTACAAGTTCAAGCACTCAAGCTACAAGTTCAAGTTCAAGTTTAAGTTCAAGTTCAAAGCAAGATCAAGGACGAAGCCAAATCAAATACCAAAGCGTTCAAGATCAAATTACTTGTTCGTGATCAAATCCAAATCCAAATTCAAGAAGGAGATTCAAGACCAAGCTTTACAAGCCCTTGAATCAAATCAAAGTCAAGCTCATTAAGATACTTTACATTCTTGAAGAATCAGAGAAATACCATAGAGATTGTAACACTTTCATTTATTGAAATCAAATACTACATTTGTTACGCAATTTTCCAGTCTTAATTATTTATTTTTATGGAAAGCGAAAATTTATTGTCACATATACCATTTAAAAGAAAGGTAGAACTGAAAATAAAATATCAAAGCAACTTGGTATCCTTTTTTGACCAGATAATAACCGAAGAATCCAAATTTCAAGTAAATCAAAAGCTAACTGCTGGAAGGAAAAAACAAAAGGGCACATGGAAAAGAAAATTACCACAAAATTCAAAATCCATCAAAAATCACCACCCAACCATGAAGAACACCAAAAAAATAATAATCCAAAAATCTACGTAAAAGAAAATCAAAAGTTAACTACTGAGGAAGCCAAATCCACCCCCCATCCCCCCACCCCCCCTAACAAAAACATAATATCAAATAAAATCACAAACTAACCATTAAACGCAAAAGGAAATAACCAAAAATTCACATATCAAGAAAATCACAACCTAACAAGTTAAACTCAAAAAGAGATAATTAAGGTTTGCTCAGTTGGTAAAAGCACCTTCACCTACGACCGTTAGGTCAAAACACTATAGATCATTCTAATTAGGGAGCGGTT